CCACTTACGATTATAGAGGAGCCAAAATGAACTTTATTTACTTACAGTAAATCCTAGCTATCTAGGAGGGTGCTGCATACAATTTGGCATATACTTTCTTGTATTGGATTTGTTGGTAAACCTAAAAATGGACAGTTGGCCTGAGCATTTTTTATTTTTATCACCAAAAGTTCTATTTAGTGTTAAACAAACTGTATTGGGGAATTAATTTCCCCAAGCAAAAGTCTGGAGATTTAGGTGAGATGTCAATTTTGTGAAAAAAATTGAAAAATAATATAACAGAGTAGGTAAAAAGGAAACTAAGGTTGCAAAAAATCTAAATAGATCCCCTTCTGAGGGATCCCTGCTGGAGCAAATTGGAATAAGCTTTATTGGGTTTTTTTTTGCCTTCCTCTGGATCAGCTCTGGGTATTGGATTCTGTATACAGAGACAAAGGCATGTGCATGGAGTGTGCCAGATGTGCCTGGACATATCCTAATCACTCAGTGCACACAGGACTTTTTTTTTGAGCCAGAACATGCCAGAATGGAGTTCCGCCACCTCTGGCGCTAGCCCCTTGCCTGCCGCATGCTACTTTCACTTGCACACACAGAAACCCAGCTTCTGTGTGCATAAGTGACAGGCTCCTCTTCTGGTGGTGGGCACTCTGCAGAGGAGGGCGGAGGTTGGGAATGTGCACAGCTCTAATGAATTGGTGGCAGCTCCTCCTAAAGCCCACTCCAGCAGCCTGCATGCTGCTACTGTACATTTTAGCTGCACTTTGGCAGCAGCCCCTCTCTCCAATCTCTGGTATTCTTTAGGTGGGATAGAGAGGATATGGGGAAGAAAGGACAGCTCTGTACTGGAAGCAAAGAGCAGGTTGGGGGGGGGAGTTTTGTACTGGGAGGTGGGGGGGACTGGTCTGTGAGATATGCATTCCTTAACTCTGCATCTTGTACATAGCATACTTCAGAGCAGTGCACCCTGTTTATGGCATACTCCCGACCCCTGCATCCTGCACATAGCACATTCCTGAGCCATGCACCTTGTACATAGCTCACTCCTTAACACTGCTCCCTGTACATAGTGCACTCCTGATCCCTGCATCCTGTACATAGCATACTCCTGAGCCCTGCACCCTGTACATAGTAAACTCCTTAACTCTTCACCCTGTCTATAGCACACTCCTGAGCCCTGCACACTGTACAAAGTGCACTCCTTAACTCTGCTTTCTGTACATAGTGCACTCCTTATCCCTACGTCCTGTACATAGTATACCCCTGAGGCTTGCACCCTGTACATAGCGCACCCCGTAACTCTGCATCCTCCTGAGCCCTGCACCCTGTACTTAGTGCACTCCTTAACTCTGCTCCCTTTACATACATAGCACACTCCTCTGTGTATATATATATATATATATATATATACATATATACACACACATATATATATATTTACACACACATATATATATGCACCTATTGCAATAGGCTACGCACACTTACTGTATGTATGGAGGCTTTCTATTAATCTGTTTTTCTATTGGTTGAACTAGATACATTTGTGCCTTTTTTCAACCTGACTAGATATATAACATTGGAGTCAAAGCAAAATGTGAAATTTCAGTAGTTTTTAGTTATGTCTAAGTTTTAAATGACCCCTAAGGGTTACTGAAATCACTTACTGAAATCACTTATAACAATCCTGGACCTGCTCTTGTTTATTTATTTATTTTTTATAGAAAGAAAAAAAAATAGAAAGTTGAAAAAAGAGAATTTTAAAGTGAGAGTCCACACTTATTATTTGACTACAAAAAAAGTATATACCACTTCCAATTTATTTTTTTTTTATAAAAAAAATCAATAAAATGCAGGTAGTCTTTGTTTTGGCCATTTGTATGTTTTACATATTTAATTATTTTGTCTTGTCAGCTCTCTAAAAACAATATGGCTCTGTGTTCAGTATCCAGATGGGTAATGTGAAAATGGTGGTATTATCTGGTTATGAGACTGTCAAGACTGCACTTGTTGACTACGCTGATGAATTTGCAGAAAGGCCCCACATACCGATGTTTGAGGACATTAACAAAGGATTTGGTATGCTTACAGTAAACGTATCCTTTCTATAATTTTTTTTGTTAAAGAATCATATTTAGGGAGAATTAGAAACACGAATACGTTGGCACGTAGATCTAAGCCAGACTTTTAAGTACTAAAATCCAGAGAAGATAGTTGCAACAGTTCCACAGAAAACATTTGCAAATAGTAAATTGATGTTATAACACAACTCCTGGGCAAGCAATGTTATGACTGGTCCCTTGTCCCAGTTATTTAGCATGCATGAAATTTGAATGGAAAGAGAATATTATCTGATGCTAGGTCTGCTTTAGAGTCTATTCATACCAGCCACTTTGTTACAACACAGCGGTTGGTGTGCGGTGCGCTGCATTGAGATGCACCATTTGCAGTGCATCAAAATGTGACCTTTTCCTTCTAAATACACACAGTGACATTTTAGTAAGTTCTGCTGGCCAACGTGTGCTTTGAAGCAGTGCATTGCCTTGTACTGCACTGTGCTGGAAAAAGTATAACCTGCTGTATTTTTGTCAGTGCATACCATCCACACACCACTGCAATGCAAAGTTGTGAACCAGTCACATAGGAGACAAGACATTTATCCTTGTCTTGCGTCCCACTGCATCTGATGTGTAAGGACTCTTAAAGAGCAGCATATTCCTAAAAGATAAAGTTCACAAATCACATGAAAAAAATAAAACATATAATTTTGTACAATAGAGAACAGGGGCCACTATGAGGTGACCAATATTTATAGTGTCACATTTTGCTTTGTCTTAGACTACCATCAAACCCTTATCTGCTGTTCTGTTTAAGGAAAATAATACAGTCAAAAAGATAATTTGTTGCCAAGAACATGAGCACGAGAAATGATCAGAAACTTCCATTTTAATAAAGGCGCAAAAAGGCAATTAGCCCTTGACTAAGCAGTAAAAACAGCATATCTCAGCCTATCTCTATGTAATCTGGAAGAAACCTTGTTTTAGAGAAGAATCTTGAAGATCTTGAATATATTCTTGCTGATTCCTTAGTTCTAATCCATCAGGTGAAACTCAGTAACCAAAACCTCTCTACTGGACTAATCATTGCTCTTAGATTGCATGTATCAATCAAATGCTCATCTGGTCTAGCTCAACACTCACTGGTAATTGTATGGGAAATTCAGAGTTGTAGGGCTAATGAATTTTCTGTTCTTTCACAGGTATTCCATTCAGCCATGGTGAAAACTGGAGAACCATGAGAAGGTTCACTCTCAGCAAATTACGAGACTTTGGAATGGGAAAGAAGACCATAGAAGATCGGATTGTTGAAGAGTGTGGATTTTTTACTAAGGAACTTGAATCATTAGAAGGTAAAAACGTAGGACCAAGTTTCCATCACTGGAGCCTGTAGACATTCAGTACATATGGACAAACTACAAAAGGTTATAAAAGACATGCATACTCTAAGAGTAGAACAGTTGTTTAAAATAAAAGATATCAAAAATATAAACAGATGTGTGTTTTCTTGCACTTTATTATAGGTCCATTATTGCGACCAGGTTTTGCACATCATCATTTGATGAATCACACATATAGATCCTTGAAGGATCTATCACTTATTCACGTATTATTTATGGTGTAATTATATAATTATATTTGTTTATGTATCGATATTTATTCATAGCGCTACACCATTAATAGTTATTAACCCCACACCATAATCCCCCTCCAGCAAACTTTACACTTTGCACAATGTAGTCAGGCACAGGTCTCTTGGCAACCAGCAAATCCAGACTCGTCCATCGGATTGCCAGACAGAGAAGCATGATTGCTCATTCCAGAGAACACGTTTCATGTCTCTAGAGTCCAGTGGCAGCATGTCTTTCACCACTGCATTGCACTTGGTGATGTAAGGCTTGGATGCAGCTGCTATGGAAATGCTATGGAAACCCATTCCAAGAAGCTCTCTATGCACTATTGTTGTGCTATTTCAAAAGACACATGAAGCCTGGAGATCTTTAGCTATTGACTCTGCAGACAGTTACAGACTTCTGTGCACTTCAGCATGTGCTGACCCCTCCATATCATTTTACATGGCCTACCACTTCGTGGCTGAGTTGCTGTTGCTCCCAGTTGCTGTTAGTAGCAAGGAAATGTCACAGATGGACTTATTGCACAAGTGGCAACCTATCATGGTACCACGCTTGAATTCACTTAACTCCTGAGAGCAAATCATTCTTTCACAATTGTTTGTAGAAGCAGTCTGCATGCCTAGGTGCTTGATTTTATACACCTGTAGCCATGGAGGTGATTGGAACACCTGAATCCAATGATTTGGAGGAGTGTCCCAATATTTGTGGCAATATAGTGTATGTTTCTGCTCCAATCTATTGTTGTATTTCAAGAGTCATCACGGTTCCACTGAAGATCTAAATTTGTTCTTCTGTCATAATAGGCAAACCAGAAGACTTGACCATAAAAACAAACTTTGCCATTGGAAACATAATTATATCAATCATCTGTGGGCACCGTTTTGATTACCAACATCCTATCTTACTCCGACTCCTTGGACTTATCAGTGAGAACATGAAGCTTGTTGGGAGTCCCTCAATTGCGGTATATAAAATACTATATCCAGTTTATATACATGTCTATGTGTGTGTTTTTATGACTATATATATATATATTTATTTTTTATTTATTACAGGTACTTGTATAGCGCCATCAAATTATGCAGGTCTTTACATATATTTTACATGCACATCAGTAAGCAACCTGAGTATTGCACAGTCAGAAGTGAAGGAATACTTAGGTGCCTTCACCCTAAACATTTAGAGATCACAAAAACGTCCTATCACATACTGCAGAATAGCAAGGTCCCTACATTTATAATACTTTTCTTGTTCTTAGATCTACAACTTTTTCCCCATCTTCTATTACTTATGTGGAACACATAGCAAAGTGATGCAGAATATAGAAGACATACACAATTTTTTGAAAACAGAGTTTGTGGAACACCTCAAAGGGCTGGATAGAGATGACCAGAGAGGACTTATTGACGCATTCCTTGTCAAGCAAGAGGAGGTAAAAAAATGAGTAGCTAACTTTTAATGTCATGTGCCGTCCCCATGTTTAAAACCCAACTCCAGGTTTTGTGTTGACTATCCAAAAATAGTTTTTTCTCTGATGATGATATTTACTATTCACAAGCAAATATAAATTAAATATAAATGTATTTAAATGCAAAAAAAGTTTTAAAAAATTAAAAACATACTCTCTCTTAGCTAGAATGGACCAGGAATACTATTTCATACAGTATCATAAAAATGTGCACAAGGTGATTTAATATTCATGGGTTGGATACTCACTTTATAAACACTGTCAGTGCAATCAAAGAATATATTAAAATATTCTATACAATATACATGTATAGAAAAAAGTTTGGAAGATAAAAAAATATTAAAGAATATTATTTATAAAAAGCAAATAAACTGAAGACAATTTTGCTTTGAATAAAGTGAGAAAGGGTTAGATTCTCTTTTGGATTTTTCTTGCTGGCTCTTGAACATATTTGGATTTCTTCTTGTCGCTTTCTTTCCTGGCAAAGATCTCTCCAAAGGGGACACAGACAAAAACACATTGATATAGAGTGGAGAGTTGGGAATTATGTTGGGCTTTGGACTTTGCAACTGTGATATCTATTATTTTCTATGACGTCTAAGAGGATGCCAACCCTACATTGGCGTATATGGTGCTTTGCCCACATTCAATATTCTAAAAGGGGAGAGGTTGCTACATTTCATGCTTTTTTTTCTCATAATTCACCTAACCTTTACATTTGCTTTCCTTATTATTATCATTGGTTACTAACTTTGTTTCTTATTTAGGAGAAATTGGATCCCAATACATATTTCCATGAAATGAATTTGCTGAGCACAGTGACAAGTTTATTTATGGCTGGGACTGAAACCACCTCGTCCACCATCCGCTGGGCCCTCTCATATATGATACAGTACCCTGACATTCAGAGTAAGAGTTCATTGTGAGGGTTATTTTATTCCATCAGCTTTATTAGATAGCCATACGCTTTATTGGACTCTTATTTTTAGATATATGCCAAGGCCTATAGTCATATATTTCTGGGATGGTGCTTGCTGTGTTGATTACAATTTAAATATAGATAACTTTCTATACAGTATGCACACTTATGGGCTTATTTCACAAAATCATTCTTATGTGGTACCAATGTGACTAGATCTTGTTCTAAATATAAACTTTACCCATGTTAACATGTACAGTATTAATCTTGGTATCAAAGCCACATGGGGAAGAACGTGGGGATTGGTACTGTAGTTGAAACTACAATGTTTTGAAACTCAGGCGGATATTCTTTGATATGCAATATCTGTAAAAACTAGAATTCAGTTGTTAGAGGATCAGTGGCTGTGATCTGGTTCATTTGGGTTCTTTTTGTACTTTTTAAAATTCTGCTTGTGAAAAAAATGGATTGGCTGTTTGTAGTATTTCATATATGTGATGTATATGCATGTTTAACTACTTTATAGTTTAGCTTTGGACTATAATAAAATTGATTTTTATATATAATACCTTTGACGTTTAGTCCTTAGTAACTATATAGCATAAGTCATGGGTGTCAAACTCAATTTCATTGTGGGCCATATCAGCATTATGATTGCCCTCAAAGGGTCAGTTGGATCTGTAAGACTAGGTGTCCAGAGCACCCCACCCCCCTTACATCAGATGTCAAGAGCCCCCCGCCATCAGAAGTCAAGAGTCCTCATGCTCCCTTAGATCACTGTGAACCCCCCTTGTGCTGCTGGGGGCAGAGCTAGGAAGTAGAAAGTGCAGGGTCTGCTGAGACCAGGGGAAGCAGAGATGAGGGGGTGCAGCAACTGCACAGAGAGGTGCAGGATCTGTAGGAGTTCTGTTCTCCTCTCTGCTGCCGACTGCTGAGACAAGGTGGGGTAGAGATGAGGGGGGTTTGCAGCTGCAGGAGAGGTGTGAGGACCACATAAAATTCAGCCCTGATTCGGCCCATGGGCCTTGTGTTGACACATGTGGTATAAGCCTTTTAAACTTCTCTTCAGTAGCAACAAAAATAAAAAAATAAATATACAAAAAATACAAAAACAGTTTTGCTTTACATACATTTTAACATTTGTGTGTAGGATTACATAATGGGGGGGGGGGGGGGGGTTAATATATCAAACCAATAAATGCCTATAGACACTATTCAGTCATCAATATTTTTATCTAAGCATGTCCTATGTTCCTATGATTTTCTTTAGAACGAGTACATGAGGAAATTGATCGAGTGATTGGAATGTCTCAGCCACGGATTGATCATCGTAAGAACATGCCCTACACAAATGCAGTCATTCACGAGACACAGAGATTTGCCAACATTGTGCCTTTGAATCTTCCCCGAGAAACTACAAGTGATTTAACCTTTCAGGGCTACCATCTACCAAAGGTCATTTTTACTATGATTGGCTTTTGCTTTTTAGTGAACATTTTAGGTATAGAATATTAGTCATTTGCACATTGTAATTGCAGCTGTAGTAAAATATTTGCAGTGTATCTAAGCCTAAAAAACAAAAATTTTATATATTGCAGCCTACCGGTCTCTATATGTTGTGGCTGCATCATTTTCTTTTTTAGGCCTTTTTTCCTGGTGAAGCCTGGTGTTCTTTCAAATAACATACACTACTTCCTGTACCTTTATGTCTGCACTCTTTTTTCCATTGTATCTATTGAGGAAGCCATTGTTGTCACACAGGTTCAAACATGTCTGCTAAGGATAATTCAAAGGTTTGATCCGATCCTAGGTTTGGACAGAACTTTAAATGGTCATGCATTTGGATGAATGCAATATTTTTGCCTTTTCAGTGGGAGCATAATATATAAAAGTGGCATTTGTACTGCTTCTATATGTGACAGCTTCATGCTGTCATTGATTCCTAAGGAAGCTGTGCGTGCTTGCACCCACCGCATCCCTAGGAACCACTGACATCACACGGAATCCATGCTGCTTAAGCAAAGTGGCAGGGATAGCAGAGACATCACTGCCCAAGTATGACCACATCAATGATTTCACTACTATGCCAGCCCGATCCTTCTTATAGCTGATGGCAGCTTGCAGAACTGTCATTTGGCCAAAATATGTGTGGCTCAAATATGTGTGTCAAGTTTCTTTTTTTTTGGAGTTGGGGGGCATCATGATTAGTGATGGATTTACAAAGAGGGATTTTTTTTTTTTTATTAAGGACTTTTGTGGGTGTTTTTATTCCTACGTAACAATTTTTTTCTTCATGAAGGAGTAGGGGACCTATGCACCACATACTCATTATTGTTGGGGTTGTATCTAAATGTCCCCTTATTATTAAAGAGCGCTTCCAGATTACGATAAACTCCCTGCCTGCAGACCTCTAAAACTGCTGGTCAAGGTGTGGAAGAGGCCCTTTTCCTCATCACCATTACATGGTGAATTGATGAGATTAGTAGATTGATTTGTGCTTTCTTTTCAGTTCACAGAAAATGTCGAGGACACTGCATTATTTGACAATGTTAACAGGGATTTTTTCTGTACTTGCAAAAATATGATCTTAGCCTAAAAAAAAGTAGTGCTACCCTCTAGAGGGCAGAGTTTTTTGGTCCCCCTAAGCTCTGCACAGCAGGCAACATGCATTTTCTACACTTTCATCCAAAGTCAGTAAACAGTCTATGAGCTTGTTTTTTTTGTTGTTGTCATTTTATTAGGGGTTAAAAACTTGGCTGGGGTCTAGCTGGTATATGGGATGCCCAATGGAACTGAATAACTTGGAGGACAAACTTTTTCTTAGACAAAAAAAAGGACAAAAATCAGCACACGGTCTTTGCAAAGAGCAGTTTGTCCCCTTAAATGAACCTTCTCAGACCCCCCAAAAAATCTCCTCTTCTACCTGGCTGTCTTGAGAGTATCCCAGAGCAAGGGATTCAAAGACACACGAATAATGTAGCCCCATGGAGAACTAGTTGGGTACTGCACCTGACCGCCCCTCTCCATTCTTTGGTCCAGGGGGTGTAGAATTACTCACACTGTCCTGTTCCTCAAGCTTAGTGGCTGAAGCTGTTTTTAGGCCTTATGCTGGGCTGGCTCCTTCCCTGCTGACAGGCTGTCTCTCCTAGGAAGACTGTGGGACAGTGGAGGTCCTTCTGTCCAGCTTCAGCCTGTAAGCAGGCCCCCCCCTACTCTGGGGCCCCCTCCCAGGCTCCACACCATCAGCACCTCCTCACTCCAATTTCCATTCTACTCTCCTGCTGAACAGGCTCTCTAATACTTAAGGGCTGACCTAGCCACCATGCCAAGTCTCCTGTCTCCTGCATGGGGATTGGCCAGGTTCCCCTAAGTATGCAGATCAGCCTCTCCTCACCCTCGCCCACTGCTTCTAAAGCTTCTCCAAGTTTCTAGAGCAGGGGGAGGTATCAGAGAACTGACTTGCAGAGCCCTCCATCTTTAACCTGAAGTAACTTCTCTGACTCATACCCTGGCTTCTAGCAAGCCTCTAGCCAAACACAATAAAAACCTATGTACACTAGAGGGCGTTACAAAAAGAAAACCGATGCAGTCACATTTTTTGTTTTTGGGTTTAGATGTACTTTAGGTACATGGTTGAAAAACGTATATGTTACTTTATTACTTCCAAAAGGATCACTGATTTTTACCAGATAATCTTGTGACAGATGCACCTGAGCTAGTATATATGAATGGCTTACTTTTATTTCCTTTTCCTATCTTTTTTAGGGAACGTACATTGTTCCTCTTCTAGAATCTGTGTTATATGATAAAACTCAATTTGAAAGACCAGAGTTGTTCTATCCAGAACATTTCCTTGATGCACAGGGGGCGTTTGTGAAGAAGGCAGCTTTCATACCTTTTTCAGCAGGTAATATATTTACAGCAGATATGTAAAACCAGCATTTTCATAAGTATACGAACATGTCTCATCCATTGTGGTTTTATAGAATACCCAGATCCGAATGGCACAGTGCATTGTTTGTATCTATCAGGTTTTATGGGCAGTCTCTGTTGCCGTGTCGCATATGATGTCCCAGGATAGTATGACAGTACAGTAGCATGCCCACAGTTGCATGTACATTTTTCCCACCTTATTCTAGGGTGCCCACAGATTCCAGAAAGCCAGAGTGCTCTGATTTTATTTCAAATTAATCTACTATGTTTGTTCGATCCGCATAGCCATGTGCACCTTACTTTTAGTCAATGAGAGGGGGCATGCAATGGCAATGGCATAATTAGACAATGACAGTTCCTTGAGTTCCTTGCTTATTTCTTTTCAGAAACCAAAAGAAAAGTGCTGGTTTACCTGTCTACCATTATGTGTTTGATCTACACTTGAAGGATTGCAAAAGAATGTAGAGAAAACATATTTAGAACTCAAATATATACCCCGCTACACTGATCTTTTAGTATTCATCAGAACTATAAAATAATATATTTAAAAGACTTAAAATATCCAAGAAAAGAGAGTTTAACTCTCCAATCCAATGTAACTTTCCATTTACAAGGGATATGTAACAAACTGTGATAGGCCCTAGGTTGCATCAATGCTATAATGCTATATTGTTGGTTAATGATGGGGCTGGAGCCATCTTGATTTTTGCTAGTTTGAGGAATGCAGTTCATGCATCAGTTTTTTCTTCTGTATTCAGATGCTGAGCACAAAAATGTTACAGCTCTGTGTCCTCTTTATTTTTGAACATTTGTATTCTTTTTAAATGTAGTACAAAAAAGATATATAAAGAAAACCATTAAAACTCATACACAACACAAAAGGAATGGCAATGATAAACATGCAAGAAGGTGCATATCCTAAGTCTCTGTTCTATTATCACAACAGCCCTATTTGTTCTCCTTAAAAAGGAGCAGTAGGAAATGAGAAAGTCCCTTAAATTTGAGTACGAATTGGTCCACCTAAACGTCTCCAAGAGAGTTCTTACAACTACCATGCCCTGCTACATAAACCCTATCTCCTCTCTATCACTCCCTTTCACCCTTATTCTCCCCCTCCCACCATAAAAAAATTGATTTCCTAATCTCCCCATTCTTTTTTTTTTACCAAAGAAGAACGTTTATTGAGAAAGTGCATAATAATACAAAAGAAATGCGAATGATGGTCATATACAACATTTGGCAATGCATACCGGGAAAAAGTAGGAATATTCTTACAAAGAACCACATATGGAACATGGTTGTGCCAGTCCACGACGGAGTAAGTCTGTAATACTCAGGCAGTATAGTAGTGCGCATGGGAATGTTATCATATCGGACCTCCTTAGTATGTAATTCTCATTGTAGCGCCGCAGAAGGAGGCAGGGTAGATGCAGCACAACCGGTAAGGACGAAGCTAGTGTTTTACTGGAGTGATGGTGCCTGTAAGTAAGCTTAGATTGTCGTGAGGGTCGCTAATGTAAATAGGGTAAGTATGACAATGGCATGCCTAATGTTCTCTAAAGGAGAACCCAGTGGTTGACTGGGCGTGTAACAGGAAGGTAAGACGAAAGAAAAGGAGAACAAGAAAAGAGAGAGAGAGAAAAAAAAAAAAAAAAAAGAAAAAAAAAGGGGGGGGGGTGGACTGGGTTTGTATTGTCGTCAACACCAAGGGTCTTCTATGGGTGGATGTGAGCATAAGTCTATTAACCGAAGCAGGTAGGTGGGGATAGAGCCCTGAAGGTGAGGAAGTCGCCTACCGTATGATCTAAAGTGTGGAGTAACATACAATGGAGGTTAGTATTCAATCAGGCGTGTTGGTAGGATGGTCTATAAAGGATCGGTACGTAGGAGTGGTTTTAAAGTGAGTCCAGCAGGCCCAAGTATGGGAGAATTTAGTGGGGGAATCGAGTGCAGTCGCAATCAGTTCTTCCATTTCCGCAATTTTACCCACACGGAGCAGCCAATCGCGTATGGAGGGAGGGCGGGTGGAGCCCCAAAGAGTGGGAAGACAGAGTCTGGCTGCGTTGACCATATGCATGGCTAAAGATTTGAGGTATTGTCCCCTGGGCAGGGAGGAGTGATGGAGAAGAAACTGCTCTGGAGAAAAAGCTAGGGACAAGGTGGTCACAGACACTACAAGCCTGTGGATCTCCTGCCAAAATGGTTGGATACTGGGAGAAGACCACCAAATGTGGAGAAAGGATCCATCTGAAGTTCCACATCTCCAACAGCTGTTGGGGACGGAAGGGTTGAAACGAGAGATTCTCGACGGGGTTCGGTACCATCTCGAAGCCAGTTTATAACCATTTTCCTGAGTCGAGACATTGAGGGAGCATTTATGAGTATGCATGAATATTAGGTCCCAATCGGCATCCACCAAGCTGTTTCCCAGGTCTCTGTTCCAAGCACGGCAGGAGGGTAAAGAATTATAATCCCTACTCTCAACAAGGAGAGGGTAAATCTCCGAGATCAAATGTTTGCGCGGTTCAGCTCTAGAGCATAGGGATTCAAAAGGAGTGAGGGGACGACTCCAGTTATGGAACAGTTTGTGTGAGAGCAAGAAGTGTCTTATCTGCAGATAGGCCCAGAAAGGAAAATCTCGGCTATCTAGGCTATCAAGCAGTTCGCGGAACGATTTTACTTTGCCATCGCGGATAAAGTGTTTAACCAAAATCTGGTCATGTGGCCAATGCTCAGATAGGAATGACTTGTGCATGCCTGGGGGGAAGTCAGGATTAAGACGAATGGAGGTTAAGGAGTTCGGTGACTCAGAGATAGATGCCGTTTTACAGTTCAGGCGGAGAATATTTAAGCTGGGCCCCACTAAAAGGTGGGTGAGGAGCTCTTGAGGTGTATGCTTCGGCAGGAACCATGGAATCGATGTCAGGGGTGAGGGTGAGAAGGCATTTTCTAGGCGGACCCAATCTTTAGAGGCAGAATGAACATGCCAGTCCACTATGCGTGTAAAGTGGCATGCCCAGTAGTACCGGTGAAGGTCAGGGAGCCCAATTCCACCTCTAAGTTTAGGGAGAGTCAGTTGAGAAAAAGCAATACGCGGACGCTTATGGTTCCATAGGAATTGTGAGCAGAATTTTTTTACAAGATGTAAAAAAAGCAACAGGTATGTGGATTGGCAGCGTTTGAAAAAGATAGAGGAGGCGTGGGAGTATGTTCATTTTAATTATTGCTGCCCTTCCAAACCAAGAGAAACAAGGACGATGCCATTTATGGAGGTCCTCTTGGAGAGAACGGAGAGCGGGAAGGAAGTTTTTTGCATAGAGGTCATCGAGGTTGCGGGTAAGTTGTACACCGAGATATGAAAGGGAATCCTTTTCCCAACGAAACGGGAAATGAGATTCACAGAAAGAGACGAGTTCTGGGGGCAGGGATATGTTAAGGGCGAAAGATTTGGAGAAGTTGATTTTAAAGTTTGACAAGAATCGAAAGAGGGCAAAATCTTTTAACAGATTAGGCAAAGTGGTGTGCGGATCAGCAAGGAAGAGAAGGATGTCGTCCGCGTAAGCAGCGAGCTTGTATTCCTTGTCCAATACCCTGACCCCTTTGATGTCGGAGTTCGAGCGGATTTTGCGTAATAGGGGCTCAAGGGATAGGACAAACAAGAGTGGGGAAAGGGGGCAACCCTGACGTGTTCCATTTCCTAAGTAAAAAGAGTTTGACAGATGGCCATTGACCCGGACTCGAGCGGTGGGGCCTGTGTACAGGGTCATGATGAAGTTGAGCATCTTCTCACCCAAACCCAGTGACACCAGAGACGCTTGCAGATAGTCCCATGCAATTCTATCAAAGGCCTTCTCTGCATCCAGGGAAAGGAAAAAACCGGAAGTGTTAGATTTGCACATCCAATGGTGAAGGTTAAGGGCCTTAATGGTATTGTCCCTTGCTTCCCTTCCCGGTATAAATCCAACCTGATCTAAATTGATCAAGGAGGGAAGCAGGGGGAGAAGTCTATTAGCCAGGATCTTCGCAAATAACTTAATGTCCACGTTCAGCAGGGAGATGGGTCTGTAGTTGGATACCTGCGTGTTATCTTTATAACCCTTGGGGATAACCGTTATGTGGGCCTCCAAAAGATGATGTTGAGGTAGGGGGGATTTGGAGAAAGTATTAAACGCCAAAAGAAAGGGGGTACCTAAGATATCCAAGAAGGATTTATAATAGGCTGCGGAGAAGCCGTCGGGACCCGGACTCTTACCAGGTTTTGTCTGCTTCAAAGCACACTGCAGCTCATTCAGGGTCAGATCCGCTTCCAGAGAGTTGGCCAAGTCTTCCGAGAGAGCCGACGGACCGTGGAGCTGGAGAAATTCAGAAATCAAAGAGGCCCTGGATTCGTCAGTGTGCGGAGGTGGGCGTTCAGGAGGAAGGTTGTATAAGGATCTATAAAAATGTTCAAAATGGGCAGCAATATGAGGATTAGATGTGGCCATGGTGCCATCGGGACCTCTAATTTTATGTACCATCATACTGGATCGTTTCTCGCGGAGAGCTCTGGCAAGGAACTTTCCGCTCTTGTTAGCAAATTCATAGTATAGTTTTTGAGAGAGAATGAACCGTTTCTTAACCACCCTCCCCAATTCTGTAAGAAGCTGTGAACGTGTACACGTAAGTTCGGATAGGGTCGACACAGCCAGGGACCGCTTATGTGCTCTTTCTAATGATCTCCCCATTCTTAAGCAAAAAGACTGTTTGGGGCAGCGGGAGGGAAGGATAATTGACCTTCATTAGTCGCCAAGAACCATTTTTATCTTTAACATTCTCTCTAAAAAAACCTAGGCTGTCCTCTCTCCCTTTTCTTACCCCACTACCTCTCCTAGTTATAGGGATTTCTCCTCTTCTCCAGCCTCTGCCTCTTCTTTTTCATTTCTGTTTCCTGTTTAGTCTGTTATGTATCTCTGTAGACATAGGCCTTAAGATACAGTCTGGCGTCCATTTGAAGTTACTGTACGTGTTCTGGGACACAGTTACAAACAGAGATGGCTGGGGTCCAAACTCTCTCTGTTGTTTAAAGCCACCTTTATGCTCTTTTCACATAGGGCTGAACACTGCCAAGAATTACCATAAATCTGCAGCAGAGATCACAGGTGTTTGTGAACAGTTGTGGCCAGATATCCTGAACAAATCTTCAACAAGCTGACATTGGATGATTACATGTGAATAGGGAGAGATGACTAGTCCTGAACACAGTTTGGGGTAGATTTACTAAAGCTGGAGCACTCTGAATCTGGTGCAGCTGTGCATGGAAGCCAATCAGCTTCTAACTTCAGCTTGTTCAGTTAAGCTTTGACAATAAAACCTGGAAGCTGGCACCAGATTTAGCATGTTCCAGTTTTAGTAAATCAACCCAGTGGAGTAACTAGAACCTTCAGGGCCCCGGTGCAAGAAACCATGAAGGGCCCCCCTGACCCATGGCCGGGAACTTTCCCTCCAAGCCTGGAGGTGGAACGCCAGAATCCGGTCGCAAGTGAGACCTTTATGACCATGGCAATTCCACCACTGGTGTCAGTAGCTTTTTTTTTTTTTTTTTTGTTTTTTTACCATTTTAATAAAGACAGAGTAGATGGACCACTTGGCTCTCGTCTGCTGCCATCATTCATATATATATTCATATATATGAATATATATATATATATATATATATATATACACACACACACACACACACACATATTGCCATAGTAGGTATAAGATAGTAAAACAATGTAAAAGTCATAGAAAAAATAAACAATATAGTAAAACAGTGAACATTGTAAGTTTTTTTTAAGTTTCTAAAGAAGCTTTTTAGAAACTCTGATAACACTTTCAACAAATTTTTATTTTTTGCCAGTTTTGGAAACAAATATATATATTCATATATATGAATATATATATATATATATATATATATATATATTCATATATATATATATATATATATATATATATATATATACACACACACACACACACACACATATTGCCATAGTAGGTATAAGATAGTAAAACAATGTAAAAGTCATAGAAAAAATAAACAATATAGTAAAACAGTGAACATTGTAAGTTTTTTTTAAGTTTCTAAAGAAGCTTTTAGAAACTCTGATAACACTGTTCAAAACAAATTTTTATTTTTTGCCAGTTTTGGAAACAAAAGGATCCATTTCCTAATGAATTTCACATTCTGAGTTCAAATATAACAATGAAATTTGTCAATTGGCTCTTGTTTTTCTGTAAACGGAAAGTTTTCTACTATAGGCGTAATGACTACATAATGCACAATAATTATATAGATAGATGTCTTTCCACAAATATAAAGCAAGTGATATTGACTACATAACAAAGCCTAAATGGCATAATATATTTCATAGGATTACCAAGACAAATTATAGCCATAAACTAAGTTGAATCATTTTAATACTTAGGATTCTCACTAGTTTTGTCTTCAGTTTGTGTCGGTTTTGCTTCTCTTGGCTTTTCTCTTGTATTCGAGGAAAGGGCTATCTCTTACAACTGCATGTGACTACACGCTTCAGGTTCTTCCTCACTTGACTCAACCACGAAGGATTCTGGTGCTTTAGGAATTGGTAGCCCCTCTCCATGAGGAACTGGACGTATTGCCGATGGAATATTTGGATAGTGCACAGATAACTTTTTCTTCTTATTTAGCCCTTTTACAATTGGAGGCACCATACAAAAGTAACAATTACTAACATGATCTGTTGGCTCTCTCCAAATCATTGGCACAGCGAAAGGCATAGATGCCTTTTTTCCATTCAACCATTGCTCCAGTGCCGTCCCACAAGAATTGCAGCATATATGTGGTGCCCAGCTCTTGTCCTGGTCTCCTATCTTGCAGCCAAAATACAAGTTGTAGGCTTTCTTAATCATTCCTGTTATCCTCCTTTTTTGTGAGATAAAAGTTATTTCACCGCAGATATAGCAGAAATGATCTGCTTTATTCACACAAGTTCGAGGCATTACTGAGTAGCCTATATAAGCATAAAACGAAATGTAAAGACGCTGTCAAACTACAATCAGCTACAGATACTGCAGCTTTTATGCAGTGAAGTGATGCAATTAAAGGCTAATATTGCATCATCTCAGTATACATGCAATTTTCTATTCAATTGCGCAATATGCAGCTGAAGTTGCATCATAATTTTGAATGGCTTACGTCATTAGATGGGTGAATATATCATGGAAACTAGAGCCAATCAACATTTTTTAGGGTAATTTTCGTTTTCAGCACCCCAAAATTATGTAAGATTAGCTAATTTTATGCCCAAAACTTTTTACCTGTTGAACAGTGTAATCATTCTTCTCCATTTTCCACAGGTCGCAGGTCTTGCCCTGGGGAAACACTGGCAAAAATGGAGCTGTTCCTCTTCTTCACCAGCCTTATGCAGAAGTTCACATTTCATGCTGCCCCTGGAGTAAAAAACTTCAATGTGAAACCTTCAGTTGGTCTTACAATTGCACCAGTAGCTCCGAAGATGTGTTGTGTGCTAAGGTCCTACTGAAAATGTGTTTTCACTGATCCTTTGTACTGTATATTACTGCTCCACCCTTACTAATGTGCCCTAAGGGTGTCCTTACACAGAACAGAAAATCCAATATCTACAAAAGAAAATCTAGTTATAAATCTGTTGTGGACAAACATTGGTATTTAAAATTATTTTTGGGTGTAAAAATCTGAGCACACAGGCAGGTCACATAAGAAAATGTACCCCAGCATTGCAATTCAAGGAACTCAAGAAAAGTTGATAAAATAGGCGAGAACTCAACTGTTAAACTTGCATATAAGCTTTAAAGTGATTCTAAAGGTTAATTTTGTTTGAAAATTATAAACATGTCTATACGTACCTACTGTGTGCAGTGGTTTTGCACAAAGAAGCCCGGATCCTCCTCTTCTTGGGTCCCCTACAGGCTCTCCTGGCTCCTCCTTTCTGTTAGGTACCCCCCCACAGCAAGAAGCTTGCTATGCGGACACCTGCTGCTCCGTGTATCCATTCACACACTGCGCCACAGCTTGCCCCCCCCCTCTCCTCATTGGCTGACTGGCTGCGTTTGACAGCAGTGGGAGCCAATGGCTCCCCCTGGCTGTCTCAGCCAATGAGGAGGCAGAGACCCGGGACAGCCAAGGCTGTCATTCACATTTCTGGATCCCGATGAGGCTCAGGTAAGTATTTGGGGGTCTGGGGGCACTGCTGCACACAGAAAGTTTTTTATCTTCATGCATAGGATGCATGAAGGTAAAAACCTTCAGCCTTTACAACCACTTTAAAGTCTAAGTTCACCTTTTTTAAAAAAAAAAACTAATAAATGCAAATATTTTTGCAAATAAAAAAATGTGCATTTATTATTTTTTTTTTTTCACAGAAGCCTTCATGATTAGGGGACCATGGGTGCCCAGCCATGCTTCTGCACACACAACCTGCAGCTCTGTTGCCTGTACCTCTGTACAGGCTTTCTGTTACAGAGCTGTAGGCTATGTGAATGGACTAAGAGCATTCTACTCAGTGTGCTCACAGTCCATTGAAAGTCAATGGCAGACACAATGGCAGACAGGAATTGTAGTATTCTCATTGATGGAACTCTGTGAATGAATGATGCTGCTGTGCAGGCAGAAATCCATACAGCTGCACCGTATTTAAAATATTTTGGACAGTGGGTTCGGGAAAAGGATCCCCCATCTCCTGTCACAGAGAAAAGGGGAGATAGGGGGTGCCGGGGCAGGTCTTCAGCATGTTACATCCTAAATGTGGGTGTAATGTGCAAATGCTCCAAAAGGTAAACTTATCCTTCAACATGATAATTTCACTTGGAAAGTCTATTTTTATTTTAATCACTGACAACTGGTGATGCTGATTTAAAGGGTCTTTGTTTGAGCACTTTGTGTTATGTGGTCACAGCAGTCTGCCCGAAGCTTCCACAATTTCCTGCCCATAAATTACATTGTCACATGCTCTCCCAAAGGAAACTACAAGGGGCGTTCAAGTCTAACTGTGACTTTTTAGTTTACAGTATATATTAATAGAACAAATTTCAAGGAGTGGAAACTGAATTTTTTTAACATACTCTCCTGCTACCTTTATACACTTATCCCAGCGTTCAACTGATGCCTGGAAAGCTTGAGCTTAGAAAGGTTTGTCAGTATGCCTGAAGAATCCTAGCACAGCCTGCTTCACTTAGTCATCAGTGAAGCAGAGAACGATTCCTTTCTTGTGCAATTTCACGGCAGATTATGCATTGATTATCCAGGATCAGGCGTTGCACGCGCTGAATGTTCACCAGAATGACTGGTGTGGGCTGGAAACCACCATGGTTGGGATTGTCACTGATGGACATAAGGCCATCTTTGAAATGTTTACACCATTCAAATGTCTTACTGCGGCTGAGCGTCTCCTCATCGTACTGTGCTTGAAGTCTTCTGTAGATATCCGCGGGTTTTTACGCCTTCGTTCACGAAACCGTCATGACACGCTGTTCCATGCACACACTAACACTGTTGTCTGCAATCTTGATTAATGGTTTCTGGACATGTGCACCCCCTATCAGTAATAGGACACACTTGCCACTTACTACTGCATGTAGTATCGCCTCGCTAGCATCCCTTTTTATACCTGTAAAATTAAAAGTATAGGTTTGACTTGAACGTTCCTCATATAAGTTTTTGTACTGATGCATATTGCCCAGACATATTCCACTGTTGTCACCATTTAAAGCAAACCTTCAATAAAAAGTGACATCACCCACACCTAACAGAAGCATTGGAAGTCAGGGCCTAAATAAGTATTTTTTTATTTATTTTTAAATCACCTTTGTACGTGATTTGACTTTGAAGGAGGAGGTCTTTACAAAGAGCTAATCTTCCATTTTATTGGAAGGTCTGCTTTGATTCAAGATCAGTGAAAAAACTATTGCAGTCAGCAAATATGTCCTGTAAAATACATACGTAGCCTGTTATCACTGCAGGCAACATGTAAAGAAGCTGCAGGACATCAGCAGTATTATCATGTAGCCATGTAGCCAGGGGCGGACTGACCATTTGGAAACTCGGGCACTGCCCGAGGGCTCGGGGTCAGTAGGGGGCCCCATGAGATGCCCCTGGTACCTTTTTCATAGGCTTTTTTGAGTTTGGGCAAGGACACAGGGGCCCCATGATCCCCTATTGCCTTGGGGCCCCATGAGTTGTCAGTCCGCCCCTGCATGTAGCAAAGGATGAAAAAAGGCAAAAAGCCTTACCATCGCCATCTTCAAATTTCTCGGTGTGCTCAGAATTTTTCTATGTTGTACCTGCTGTACATTCAGTAAGGGTTTACATCCACTTTAAGAGACTTGCCAGTGTCCTACATTAATTTCTCTCTATGCACTTTATTAGCAGCACTCCCTATGATTTCCCTATTACAGATAAAACCCATTCAATATGGTTGTTGGGAACCCACCCTTTTATCGTGATGATGCTAGCTTATTCAATAGCCCCCTTGATTGCTCCTTTAAAGCTAGCTCATCTATTGCAGTGCATTCATTTGTTGGGTCTGCAAAACGCAACCACACAGGATTCCCCACAAACCCAAGGTATGGGCTGACCCAAAACTCATTCTTATACATCATTGTTTATTCTACACTGTAATACCTTTTTTGGGTGAAAAAAAAAACCCCACTTTAATTGTGGAAATCTCCTGTATATTGCAATGTTTAACCTGCTGCTTATCTCTCAGATGCATTCTGTGGCACATGTACAGTATTTAGATATAACTACCAGATGCTAATAATGCCAAATAAGACACACAAAAAAGTATAAAAGAGTGTTCTATTAAAATGCTAAAAAATGAGAAAAAATATACATACAGTCGTGCTTAAAAGTTTTCATACCCTTGGAGAACTGGTGTGAATCAATAATGGAAAATGTGTGCCGCTTAGGCTGCAAGGGAAAGCAATCCTGTGTCCTCCACTGTGAGTGCAGCTAGGGAAGAAGCTTGTCTCAGCTCCAAACCATTGTTAAGCAAAGGATGGATCCCATGAAGTCGCACCTCTTTGCAGGCCTGCTGGTATTGAAATGAATGGTTCAGCCTGGGCTACCACCAAGCCACTGCATTTCAATCCTCACCTTGGAGCTAAATCATGGGGATCCCGTGATTTGGCTCTGACAACTATTACAAGACAGCGTGCAGTCTATGAGACCCGAATACTTGCAGGTGGTATAGCTGCCCATTCATTTTAACAAAATGCCTTCAGCTCATGCAAAGTCTTTGGACGTCTTCTGTGAACCGCACGTTTGAGATCTCCTTAGAGTGATTAGATGATATTGGGGTCAGGAGACTGTGATGGCTACTCCAGAACCTTTGCATTTTTTCTGCTGTAAACACTAGAGGGTCAAGTTAGCCTTGTGCTTAGGGTCATTGTCGCACTGGAAAGTTCAAGAGTGTCCCATGCATAGCTTTTGTGCAGAAGAATGCAAATTGTCTTCCAGTATTTACTGATAACATGACGCATTCATTGTGCCATCAATTTTTACAAAATTCCCTGTGCCTTTAGAGCTCACACACCCCTTAAACATTAGTGAGCCACCACTATACTTCACAGTGGGGATGGTATTCTTGTTTCTATAGACCTTGTTGACCTCTTTCCAAACATAGCACTTTTGGTTGTGACCCTAAAGCTCTATTTTGGTCTTGTCACTCCAGATTACAGTGTGCCAGAAGCTGTGAGGTACATCATGGTGTTGTTGGGCATATTGTAACAGGGCTATTTTTGTGGCATTGGCTCAGTAAAAACTTCTTTCTGGCAGCTCAACCTTGCAGCTCATTTTTGGTAAAGTTCCTTAAAACAACCGTTTGCCAGTTCTTTTCTACCCCCCATGGCTCAGTATCTAGCCTGCACAGTGTATCCATGTAAGAGCTAACAAACTCATTGACAATTTATACACAAACACTAATTGCAATTTAAAAAGACACAGATGTGGGAAATTACCCTTTAATTGCCACTTTAACCTGTGTGTGCCACCTTGTGTGTCTGTAACGAAGCCAAACATTCCAGGGGATGGAAGCTTTCGATCATGGCCACTTGGATGATTTCTGTTATCATTATAATTTAAAAAGGAGCCAAACCACTATGTGATAATAAATGGCTTCAAATGATCACTATCCTTAAATAAAACACATTGGCATGATCAGTCATATTTCAATATCCATGCCAAAATTTCATTATTTCTGCCAGGATATGCAAACGTTTGAGCACAACTGTATTTCAACCATGTACTTACATAGAACCGTCAGTTCCCAAAGACCAATAAGGTAATGAATAAAAGTTGGTTTTAAACATTTTTGCGTTATATAAAGAGATAAAAAATCTTTCTTATGTACATTGTAATTTTTTTTTTTTTTAATTATATACGATTTGCTGTAACACTTATATGAAATACAAGCTGTGCTTAAAGTGATACTAAACACACATCGTTTAATTTACATTATCCCTTCTATTTCTCTATATGGATGATGACACTGTAATTATTTTAATTAAAATAAAATCTAAGTATTGTTTTTCCTAAGAGATATACAGCTGTCACATACCCCAGCTCTTTCTTAACCTGTCTGCAGGGAAAACAGTGGCAGGACGAGTCTCTGCTCCTCTGCTGCCGGTCACATTTTAAAAAATAAAGCAGCCTTGGGAATACAGAATAAAAATAAATAGTATCAATGAACTGCTTTAAATTGTCACACAAATATATATTTGAAATCAAATATTTATTATTTTTGGCAATAACACGGTGTGGCCGGATTCCTGCCAATCACAGGCTGTGCCAAGACTCTCCAGCCTGTGTCTATATGTGCTTAGGATAACAGGGCAGTAAAGTCTCTATCTATTTACATGTCATACCCTGCCCCCATTGTGTTTAGCTGTTTATTGGGCAAGGAGGAGGGAGTGGGCTGTCATTTACCATTGTGTATACACTCACATGTGTGACTCTCTAGTCACATGAGCTGCTCAGATGTGATCAGGGAAGGAATGCTCTGCATAGAAACACACTGAAAACTAAGCGTGTGCCCTAACTGCCAGTGCTGCCCTGCAGAATCCCTAGCTGCTGTGGGGACATGGACAGGAGGGAGGAACAGTGAATAGCAGGATCAACCAGGTTTTTTCTGAATACAGAAAACAAATCCAATAGTGACTAAGTATGGTCAGCATGTAATACAGTTTTTTTATAGTGTTTTATAATGTGGGTATAATGACACTTTAACCACTTCAAGCCCGGACACTTTTACCCCCTTCCTGTCCAGGCCAATTTTCAGCTTTCAACGCTGTCATACTTTGAATGACAATTGGGCAGTCATGCGACACTGTACCCATATGTATTTTTTAGCATTTTTTTGAGACAGATAAAACTTTATTTTGGTGGCAGTTATTCACCACTTGGATTTTAATTTTTTTGCTATATAAATGGTAAATCCAAACATTTTGAAAAAAGTGTTTTTCTTAAAACATTTTGCAAATAAATAATCTTTCTTCATAAATCTTAGCCAAAATGTATTCATCTATCTTCTTAGTAAAAAAACAAAAAAAAAAAAAAACAAATTAGTTTATAACCAAAAATTCTAATTTTTAAAAACATTTTTTGCCATTTTAGTTTATTTTTTTTATATTATTATTTATGTTTTTTTTTTTAACATACTGTCACCCCAGCCCAGCAGTACAGTGTCACTATAGTGACACTGTACTACTTGTGGGAGGTGATGAAGATTTTTTTTTTTTTTTTTTACACTGATTGCTTTTACACCCATAAAGGCTGTAAAAGCAATCATTTCTCCTTCTCTCTGGCTGCATTCTTGCAGCTATTGAGAAATTCTTGCAGCTATTGAGAAATACTGTGAGAGCTGTGATTGGTCACAGCTTGTCACCTGGTACAATGCTGTTGTGAATAGCCTTGTACCATGTGACCTCTGTGATCATTCACAGATTTCACTAGTAGTAAGCAATGATGTCAGAAGTGACATCTTACTTACTACTATTCATGTGATCACTGATTGGCCAATCACACAGAGGTCCTGTACAGCGATTGGTGCTGAACTCCCAGGGGGTGCGCACAGGCGGGGAGCGGGGAGGGCATTTATAAATGGCCAACCACTCCTGCACTGGTCCCGTCCAGTCGTTTATATACATGGGCCGGACGGAAAGTGGTTAAATAAAGCAGGTCTTTTATCAGTGAAGAGATGGGAAATTTAAAGCAAAGACAAATGGCCTTTTTATGGTAAGGATTGTTTCTTTTGGCAAAAATAAGTACAACACATAAAGTGTGCCATGGTACAACCATGATGGGTGGCCATGGTAAAGGCTGGAACTGACTTAAAGCCCAACTGAACTTTCAGTTTAAATCAATTGAATTCATTTTAGGTGCATCAAAACAAAAGCTCCATGAAGTCTTACTGGTAATTTTCCTAAATAAGCACCTTTAGCTTTAACAGAAAAGCTTGTGGAAGCAGTGGTCTCCTGGGAGTGATCCAACATGCCCCCTGCTAAGTCAAACTTAGCGTTCCCCATTTAGCAGGGATCATGAGATTTGCTGACTGAAGCGCTCCAGCCAGGGGCGGATTGACAACTCATAGGGCCCCGGGCAATAAGGGATCATGGGGCCCCTGTGTCCTTGCCCAAACTCAAAAAAGCCTATGAAAAAGGTACTAGGGGCATCTCATGGGGCCCCCTACTGACCCCGGGCCCTCGGGCAGTGCCTGAGTTTCCAAATGGTCAGTCCGCCCCTGGCTCCAGCTATGCTCCCATGCAAGTGCAAGCTTCTTTAACATCTTGCATCAACATTGGTTGCATTCTCACAATCCCCCTAGGTCACCACAAGCACCTGGACATGCCCAAGTAATATTTTCACCCTCTGCAGCTCAGAGAGAATGCACGTGAGGTGTTTGGGTTGATCTTCAGCCAGGTATATAGACCTCCACTACAGCCCAGCAGAAGCCCAATAGCACACAACTTCCACAGACGTCCAAGCCGCTGCTCCAATTGCTATCAGATTAACAGGCCACCTGCCTGTGGTACAAGTCTTGGGACTCCTACAGTCACTCACTTATGGTGCCAGCTCTGAGATCCCTTCAGCTACTCATCTGTGTTCCCAGACCTACCCTGGACTTCACTATGAGAGACACTGTTACAGCGGCTAAGCTCAAGAAGTTGAGTTTTTACTGCACTGTTTACTGAAGTAGTGATAATTTTATATAAGTATCACCCTTATCCCAAACAGGGGCTACTATGTCAATTTTGTTTTTGGTTGGGCTGTAGTTAGTTCAGACTGATTGTATAGTTTTTTCATCTTCGCAAACAAAACACGTTATAAATATTTATATTTTCTATAGCCAATCCAGTAGGAGGACCAGGAGCTACATGATCAGGAGAGCAAGTGGGAAGAGTTGTCACATGCTACTGTGCCCAAGAGGTGCCGCGGTTTGTGTCTGGCACTGGAGAGAGAAAGAGCCTGCTTCTGCAAGGAAGAGGAACGCCTGGGGGACATGTATAGATTTCTCCCTGTGTTAGCCACTGTGAGGTCCAAGTTGATCCAGGGAATATCTGATTGCCTCTCGGGGGATCAGGAAGGAATTTTTCCCCTGCAGGAGCAAACTGGATTATGCTTTGCTGGGTTTTTTGCCTTCCTCTGGATCAACTGTGGGTGTATGATTTTTTTTTAATGGTTGAACTGGATGGACTTTTGTCTTTTTTCAGCCGGCCTAATGCAGTCCATAGACTATTCGTTTATCGGCCGTTTTTTTTTTGTCCGAAAGAATAACCGGCCGATTTTCGCACCGTTAGTGGAGCAATGTCGTTGGCCGATATTCGCGGTTCCTCCTCATTTCTTCATCGGTCATGCTGGAAAATTTGCGAAAAACAGACGATTTTCGCAATCATTGGTGGCAACAGAACGACCGATGTTTCGTTTTTCGGCCGAAAAAGCAGCTGATAAACGAACAGTCTATGCACTGCATAACTATGTATCTATGTAAGACAGGGGTATCAAACTGGTGGCCCTCCAGCTGTTGCGAAACTACAAGTCCCATCATGCCTCCTCCTTTGGCAGTCATGCTTGTAACTGTCAATCTTGCAATGCCTCATGGGACTTGTAGTTTGGCAACAGCTGGAGGGCTGTCAGTTTGACGCCCATGATGTAAGATGTTTGCTGTCAGTTCAAGTGCCATGTTGTCCGGAGCTCAGCTAAGAGATACTGGCTAGCCAGTCTCTGCCTTTGGGGTTGCTATCCTGCCTTTGGGGTGTCAGAGGGGTGCTACAGAATCTTATAGAGACTGTGTTGTACTGCCACCTAAAGTATCAATTGAGTCGCAGAGACTTTGTTCCTATGAGCTCCTGTTTGTACAGTTTACATTTTTCTGTACTGTATGGTCATCCTTTTGGCATTTTGGTGTATTATTGGCTCCTAGACAGCACTTGATACTCTTTGCAGAAGAAGGGACTTTATTTTTCACTTGAATTCAGTTTTCACATGGACTCTTTTATTTTATTTCTATTCACTGGATGTTATGTTTCATGATTGATGAAATATTCACTATATTATAATTATTTCTTTTTTATTTTCCTATTAGCGTTGTTATTTGACTTTTTTTTTTTTACATTTTTTCACTTGGTGTCACAGTGATTAACATCTGCTTTATATTGTGTATTTCATCTTAGTTCAGATATATTTTTTATTTTATTTACTTTTGGCATTTTGACCCTGTCTCTATTATTAATCCAACTCTGTAATTGTCTTGTAAAGTTCAAGTTACAGCTACCCTCTGTCTGAACATTCAGCTGATTCCTCTTACCAATTATACCTCCACACAGAGAACAAGGGTCCTCCTCAACAGCATGCGGGCAGAGTACAAGCTAGTCAGGCTGTGGCTGCTTTCTAAAGAAAACAAAGACTGCAAGACCTTTTACACCTTGTGTTTTTATGCATCTGGAATGCATTTAGCTGAATTAACTGACAGTAAGCTTAGGTTCACACTTAAGCTTTTTCTGCAGCATTTTGCAAAGTCCATTTAACATGATTTCCTATGGGACATGTTCACACCTGTGCGTTTTCACCTGTTGCATTTTTTGGAAAGTGTCAGGGACTTTTTTGAACGCAAAAAGTAGCATTTTTGGTCCTATAGACGTTAATGGAAACGCTGCAGAAAAGCATGTATGGCGTTTTTGCTGCAGTTTTGATGTGTTGTGTGTTTTAAATCTGCCTAGCAACAAGAAAAAAAATGCATCAGAAAAGCGGCAAAAATGCAACGCAAAACACAGTGCAGAAATGGCTCAAACCTGCCATTTCAACCTGCATAGGTGTAAACCTAGCCTAGCACACCAGAAGAGGTGCATGTGGCTTTTTTGGCAGTTGACTGTGCTGAATACACATTAGTGTGCTGCCACACATTATGCTGTGCTGCAACCAGGGGCGGACTGACCATTTGGAAACTCGGGCACTGCCCGAGGGCCCGGGGTCAGTAGGGGGCCCCATGAGATGCCCCTGGTACCTTTTTCATAGGCTTTTTTGAGTTTGGGCAAGGAAACAGGGGCCCCATGATCCCCTATTGCTCGGGGGCCCCATGAGTGGTCAGTTCGCCCCTGGCTGCAACCCACATCTGTTGGCAAGGTGGGTTAGGGTGTCATTCAATAAACCATGCATTACCACAGTGCAATGGTGTGAACAGCTTGTTAAATGTTAAACATATTTTAAAATATACTTGCTAAATAAAGGGGAGTTGTAAGTGATAAATTGTAAAAGAGAAAGTACGTCATGAATGGAACAAGCTGTGAAAATAATATAGACTGACCCAAATAAAACACTAAATAAGATACAATGGCATAATTACAGCAGCACTGCCCCCTTAGGAGTCATTGAGTTTTGGGTCCCCCTAGAGCTCTGCACAGCCAGGCAACATACATTTTTTTTCCTGCATACTGGAAACAGTAAACAGTCCTTGAGCTTTTTTTTTTTTTTTCGTTTTATTAAGGGGTATTGAACTTGGACAGGGTTGAGGGGTATATGGGATGGAAGGAACTGTGAATATGAGGACAAATCTCCTCAGCAACTATCCATAGACAAAACGCCTCTTCTTGAAGAGCTGTTCAGCCCTTCTGGTGTACTTCCTAAGAACCCAGATAAATCCTCCTCCTCACCCAGCTGCCTGAAGGTGTCCCATAAACTGCCTCTGTAGTAGAGAAGTCCCAGGTGAGAAGCTAGTGGGTACTTTACCTGACTGCCCTCTCCTTTTACCTGACTGCCCAGGGGGTATAAGGTTACTCACACTCTCCTTCCTGATAGCTCAATGGGTTGGTGGCTGTATTCAGTCCTTTCACTTGGCTGGCTCCTTCCCTGCTGTTCAGGCTGTCCCTCCTGGAAGATGGTGTTACAGTGGAAACCCCCTTGTCCAGCATTATCCTGCAGGTAGACCCCATCCCTGGGCCCCCTCCCAGGCTACAAACTCCAGCCTTCACTCCATCTTCTCCTTCTCCATACTAATCCTCCTGCTGATCAGGCTCCTTCATACTTAAGGGCTGTCCTGACTCCATGACCAGACTGCTGCTTGGGAATTGGCCAAGGTCCCTTAAGTATTCAGATCAGTCCCTCCTCACCCCCACCCCTGCCTTCTAGAAATGTTTCCAGCTTCTAGAGCAGAGGGAGGTATCAGGGAACTGACCTGCAGAGCCTCAGCCCTGACCTACAATAACCTGGCTGACTCACACCCAGGCTGACTCATCCCAGGCTGCTACTCAGCCTCTACCTAAAAAACTAACTGGCTCCTCCTAGCTAAACTCGAAGGGCACTACATTACAACAAATGAGCAGAACCCATTTAAAAAAATCATTTTTTCTGCATTGAGAATCAGTAAAAATAGTATATCAATAAAGACTTTAGATCCAGCATATCTTATTTTTCATTGATGAGTGATCTGTCTTTTACAAGTGTAGGAGCGGGGATGCTCTAGGAAATTGCATTCTGCACAAATGTAAATAATCATTAATTCATCAATCATGATTGCCTGCCAAATTTCTGCAAATCAAACAAATCCACTAGGAAATGTTTAGAAAAATAAAAGTGTAATGAATCAGCGATTCACCTGATTTTCTAAACTCAAATCTATGTGCCACTTATTATACATGTTTACTGTATAAAAATGTTTGTTTTTAAACAAAAAATTGCAGCCTCTTTTAAATCCTTAGTTTTTAACACCCTCATCCCCTTTTCCCCTTAGCTGTTTTTTAGGTTGTATATAAACTTTTAGAGCCCTTTCCCACATGTATATTCTGCATGGCCTGTTAAGGCATTATTTCGCTCATTAACATGCATTGCATTAACCCTCCTCCCCTCCCCCCTTTAATTCAGAATGAGCTGATAATAGACTTCAACTTAATGAGACTCATCACATTGCACTTGTTGTGGTGCTATGCAGTGTGTATCTGTTGGCACTTACTGTACTTGTGTGCTGGGGTGCCATTTAGGTGAATGGCATCAAAATGCACTCCCTCTGCTTCCAAAGAGCGGTAGAATTCTCTGGATTATAGGTGTGGAGCTATGCAGATGGCAATATGAATATTTATGCAGCCTTGGCCAATCTTAGGGAACAAAGTCCTGAAGACTTCTGGGTGACTGTATAAATACTTTGAGAGACTGAGCTTCTGGGTCTCTTCCTGCTGAGGATCAGTCCAGCCTGAAGGACTGCTGTCCTCCAGGGCAACACTGCTATGTGCTTGCCTGTATGCTGAAGCTACAGGGAGCTGACTGAGGGTCTGTCAGTTGAAGATCTAGTCTGGAATCACTGGAGAAAGGTGTTGCATGGATGTTGAAAGGCAGTAACCAACTTTCCTTGGACATTTGTGAATACAGACTGCCATGCGTGATCTTAGGGACTTTTGGAATGCTGCCACCCCTCTTGTGCTAGAGAGTCAGCTGTGTGTATTTGTTTGAAGGGAACATCAACTGGTGTTCTGAAGAGCTTAGTCTATCTAGTTCTCTGTGAAGGGACTCTGTTCTCTTTGCTCTAAAGAAGAAACTTGTGTGCTTTCACCACTTCTATTACAAAGCCAAGTCCACAGTTTGCTATGAACAAGGACTTCTGCTGGAAGGGAGATCACTGTCCTCAACTTGTACATAGTTTCTGTTTTTGGAGTATCCTACTCAATTCCCTCAACCCTATCCAAGTTCTCTAAAATACAACACCCCTAGACTGGTTATTGAGGAAAAGAGTGACTGTGTTCATGTGTCTGGCTGCGGGGCAATCCACTAGGGAAGAACCTGAGCAAATTTACAGCGGCTCCTACAGAAGTAAGCGCTACACCCTATTGCTCTTGCCCTACTGTATATGCATCTAAATCTCCTTGCCCATTGTTGGTTTAATTAATTTGCATACTTTGATATTCACTGTATGTGTGTATATACAGTTGTGTTCAAAATAATAGCAGTGTGTTGAAAAAAGTGAATAAAGCTCAAAATCCTTCTAATAGCTTTTCTTTCCATACACACAAATGCATTGGGAACACTACACATTCTATTCCAAATCAAAACATGAAGAAAAATATATCAAATTTTGTGTTGTTCCTCTAAAAAAATTGAAGAAAAGTGAATATTAGACTGTTCAAAAAAAAGTAGCAGTGTTTGTATTCTTCTTTACAAATTCAAACATTCACTATATAAACTGAAAAATGTTTGAAGATTTTGCTTTCCTTTGAATCACTTAATGAATATTTGGTTGTATAAGCACTGTTTCTGAGAACTGCTGTACATCTGTGTTGAATGGAGTCAACCAACTTCTGGCACCTGTGATCAGGTATTCCAGCCCAGGATGATTGGACTACATTTCACAGTTCTTCTCTATTTCTTGGTTTTGCCTCACAAACTGCATTTTTGATGTCACCCCACAAGTTTTCTATTGGATTAAGATCCGGGGATTGGGCTGGCCACTCCATAACGTCAATCTTGTTGGTCTGGAACCAAGATGTTGCACATTTACTGGTGTGTTTGGGGTCGTTGTCTTGTTGGAACACCCATTTCAAGGTCATTTCCTCTTCAGCATAAGGCAGCATGACCTCTCCAAGTATTCTGATGTATTCAAACTGATCCATGATCCTTGGTATGCGATAAATAGGCCCAACACCCGTAGTATGAGAAACATCCCCATATCATGATGCTTGCACCACCATGCTTCACTGTCTTCACAGTGTACTGTGGCTTGAATTCAGTGTTTGGGGGTTGTCTGACAAACTGTCTCCGGCCACTAGACCCAAAAAGAACAATCTTACTTTCATCAGTCCACAAAATGTTGCGCCATTTCTCTTTAGGCCAGTCAATGTGCTCTTTGGCAAATTGTAACCTCTTCAGCTTGTCTTTTTTTCAACAGTGGGACTTTGCGGGGGCTTCTTGCAGATAGCTTGGCTTCACACAGGCATCTTCTAACTGTAACAGTACTCACAGGGAACTTTACACCTTCTTTGATCTTCCTGGAGCTGATTGTTGGCTGAGTCCTTGCCATTTTGGCTATTCTTCTATCCATTCCAATGGTAGTTTTTAGCTTTCTTCCACGTTTTTCAGGTTATGGTTGCCATTTTAAAGCATTTGCGATCATTTTAGCTGAGCAGCCTATCATTTTCTGCACTTCTTTATATGTTTTCCCCTCTCCAATCAACATTTTAATCAAGGTACGCTGTTCTTCTGAACAATGTCTGGAACAACCCATTTTCCTCAGAATTTCAGAGAGAAATGTACTGTAACCAGCATGTACAACATTTGCTGCCTTCCTTCCTTAAATAAGGGCAATAATTGCCACCTGTTTTTCAAAGAATGAATGACCTCACTAATAGAACTCCACACTGCTATTATTTTGAACATGCCCCTTTCAATTAGTGATTCAATTACACAGAATCAGCAGCATGCATGTCATGACTGTTGGGTCTGTTGGATTTCTATTACTCTACTACACCTGCTAGTAAATTGTTTGCCATGTAGAAATATCATTTCTACCAAGAACAGTGATTGATCAGGTTAGTGATGTCTGACTGCTATTATTTTGAATACAACTGTACGTGTGATTTCTCAATGTGTATAAAATCATACCTGTAGATGGAAACTAAGTGTTTTGAAAGCAAATTAGTTATCCAGGGTTACTCATTTCTGGACTGTCTTGATTTATTCTGAAGCAGACAACTATTAAAAAGTGACAGTGCAGTATTCCTCCCATTTCAGACAATACAGGAAACAAAACTCACAAGATCACCTTGTGCCACCTTTACATCTTCAGAACAATAACCATGGAGTTTACTCTAACGTCTGAATTTACCATATACGGACTATTATTTTTGGCTATCCTATACATTATAAAAAGCTGGGGACAGTGGACTTCAGTAACTTCAACCAGAAAACTCCCTCCAGGGCCCAGAACTCTGCCGGTGATCGGAAATCTGCATATGATTAATCTCAGGAGGCCAAATGAAACTTTCATGAAGGTAACTATTTAGGTGTTCGGCTGACTTATTTCTATATTCAGTAAAGATTTACACTCAGTTAATGCAGTCTAAAAGGAAACCTATAGTAATACAAATGCATGAGATGACATTGCTGAGCTTCTTACAATGGTCTTTTTGCTTTAGTATTCTTAA